GTAATGACTAAACAATGCACTCAAAGACAGTTACTCAAACTGGGTATATGTAAATAAGCATTACACACAGAACCATTTTCCAGCAAAATAACAATTGGCCATGTACAGCTTGGATTTTCCAAGAATTTCTCCATTACTTTGCCACATTTCCTTGGTCTTTCAGTCTTCATTTTTGTTGCCCATCAAGTATTTATGGGACAGATGAGACACTAGCTTAGGCTATCTATAATTATTAGGGATTGGGAGTAACAGTTGTAATGTCTATAGTCAAATTGTCACAGAACAGCATATAGTGTGTGCATGCCTGGCAATATGCATCCAGTCAAGAGGAGTTTCAACAAAGTATTATATTAAGTTTAAAGAATCCTTTAAATTGCATTGCTGTACGATAAGAAATTGTCCGTTTTCTGTGATAATGCAATCACTTATTACCATCATCATTACTTTTACATTAATAAAGTTTTGTTTGATTCCAATACCACATTCTTGGTGTGTAATATTTTTGTATTTATATAATTTTATTTGAATCATTAATTACTGATAATTATTTTACTAATTCATACAAAAATAATAATTTTTTATATGAATTCATTATATTTGGCTTATGTTTTCAAACAAATAATTTATTTTGCCAATAATTTTAAATAATATATATTTATGTATGAATAAAATAAAATACTCAGTATAGCAATTAAGAAAAATATTAATAAAAACTGTTTTATTTACATTTTGGAATTATCAACAACTATTTATCAATTTAATCTATTCTTTATATTTTTAATATTCAGAATGTCAACACACACACACACACACACATTATACATACATATATATCTGATGCAGAATTAATACATATTATTTACATTTTCAATTAAAATAATTGACACTATTTTACATCAAAAACACATGGAAGAAACTGAAATGTTTTCATACCTCCACCATATCTGATGATAAGGAACAAACGGTCTTCTTTTGCTAGAGGTTATGCCTTTGTAAAAATATGCATTAATACATCATTTTAATTTAAAGGTATTATCAATATTGTGAAATTCAAATGTCTTAAACTGTATATTGATAACACAAATAAAAACCTTTACTAACTAGCATCAACTTTTAATTTAATAATTACTTTCAACCTTTTTAAAAAATCTTTATAAGGGTATCCCTTTCAATATATAATTAACAATTTAAATATTAAAAGAATCTTAATGTATCAAACTTTTAAAAAGTAATTCTAATAGAATCTCTTGACAGATTCTATTGGAATTATTATGACACACTCAATTTTATATGGAAATCATACTAAATGCTCAATGATTTATTAAAAAATTAATCTTATTTACATGTTATAACAATTTCAATGTAATAGTTTGATGCAAAACAAATTTAAAAATTTTATGGTAAATACATTTGTAGATTAAAATACTGAAAATCCATTGACTTTAATTTATAGTTAAAATTAGCCTTTGAATAAATTTTTCAAACTGCTTTTGAAATGAAATGAAATAAAACAAACTCAAAGCAGAACTTTTAAGTTAAGAAGTATTGAACTATTTGAGTAATTTAACATTTTCTGGTTGATAATACAATTTTAAAGCAGCACATTCACATAATATATGTATTAGTAAAAAGAAGATTTTATTACTTATGTTGTTATAGATTTCATTGCATTAATGTAAGACAACATAATTTATTCAAATTATTTCCATCTTTCTGAATATTGAATTAAAGTTTAAATGTAAGATGAAATATTTCTTTATCATATCAGCATTAGATATAGAAAAATCTAAAATAATATATATATATACTTTTTGTCAATGTATATATATATACATTGACAAAAAGTTACATACTCAGATAAATTATAATAAAGGTAATAAAATATATGCAAAAAGTCTCCCTCTACAGTTAAAAATATAACATCCCTTTAAAAAATAAAAATAAGTTAGAACTAGGATATTATAAATTCACAAAGAATGAACTAAAACATTACATATAGAAATAAACAATAATCTAAAAATACATGTTTTTAAAATATGATTTTTAGTATTATATACAATTTACATTTTAAAAGCATAAAAAATAAAAACAACAAATAAATCTTATATCATAAAAAATTTTTTACATGTAGATTTTAAGAATTATATTTGACATTGCTCATATTATTGACAACTCTACTAAAATAAATTGATTATTACAAAACTTTGCATATAGGTAGGTAAATGATTACAGTTGTGTTCTAATTGCTTGTCAGGTAAATACCACCAGAATGCCTTAAAGTCACTACCCCAGTAACATATTAAAAGGCTTGCAGAGGATCACTCTGTGTTCAGTTTTCAATGTAACTGTTGTTTGAAACCAGTAATGACTAAACAATGCACTCAAAGACAGTTACTCAAACTGGGTATATGTAAATAAGCATTACACACAGAACCATTTTCCAGCAAAATAACAATTGGCCATGTACAGCTTGGATTTTCCAAGAATTTCTCCATTACTTTGCCACATTTCCTTGGTCTTTCAGTCTTCATTTTTGTTGCCCATCAAGTATTTATGGGACAGATGAGACACTAGCTTAGGCTATCTATAATTATTAGGGATTGGGAGTAACAGTTGTAATGTCTATAGTCAAATTGTCACAGAACAGCATATAGTGTGTGCATGCCTGGCAATATGCATCCAGTCAAGAGGAGTTTCAACAAAGTATTATATTAAGTTTAAAGAATCCTTTAAATTGCATTGCTGTACGATAAGAAATTGTCCGTTTTCTGTGATAATGCAATCACTTATTACCATCATCATTACTTTTACATTAATAAAGTTTTGTTTGATTCCAATACCACATTCTTGGTGTGTAATATTTTTGTATTTATATAATTTTATTTGAATCATTAATTACTGATAATTATTTTACTAATTCATACAAAAATAATAATTTTTTATATGAATTCATTATATTTGGCTTATGTTTTCAAACAAATAATTTATTTTGCCAATAATTTTAAATAATATATATTTATGTATGAATAAAATAAAATACTCAGTATAGCAATTAAGAAAAATATTAATAAAAACTGTTTTATTTACATTTTGGAATTATCAACAACTATTTATCAATTTAATCTATTCTTTATATTTTTAATATTCAGAATGTCAACACACACACACACACACACATTATACATACATATATATCTGATGCAGAATTAATACATATTATTTACATTTTCAATTAAAATAATTGACACTATTTTACATCAAAAACACATGGAAGAAACTGAAATGTTTTCATACCTCCACCATATCTGATGATAAGGAACAAACGGTCTTCTTTTGCTAGAGGTTATGCCTTTGTAAAAATATGCATTAATACATCATTTTAATTTAAAGGTATTATCAATATTGTGAAATTCAAATGTCTTAAACTGTATATTGATAACACAAATAAAAACCTTTACTAACTAGCATCAACTTTTAATTTAATAATTACTTTCAACCTTTTTAAAAAATCTTTATAAGGGTATCCCTTTCAATATATAATTAACAATTTAAATATTAAAAGAATCTTAATGTATCAAACTTTTAAAAAGTAATTCTAATAGAATCTCTTGACAGATTCTATTGGAATTATTATGACACACTCAATTTTATATGGAAATCATACTAAATGCTCAATGATTTATTAAAAAATTAATCTTATTTACATGTTATAACAATTTCAATGTAATAGTTTGATGCAAAACAAATTTAAAAATTTTATGGTAAATACATTTGTAGATTAAAATACTGAAAATCCATTGACTTTAATTTATAGTTAAAATTAGCCTTTGAATAAATTTTTCAAACTGCTTTTGAAATGAAATGAAATAAAACAAACTCAAAGCAGAACTTTTAAGTTAAGAAGTATTGAACTATTTGAGTAATTTAACATTTTCTGGTTGATAATACAATTTTAAAGCAGCACATTCACATAATATATGTATTAGTAAAAAGAAGATTTTATTACTTATGTTGTTATAGATTTCATTGCATTAATGTAAGACAACATAATTTATTCAAATTATTTCCATCTTTCTGAATATTGAATTAAAGTTTAAATGTAAGATGAAATATTTCTTTATCATATCAGCATTAGATATAGAAAAATCTAAAATAATATATATATATACTTTTTGTCAATGTATATATATATACATTGACAAAAAGTTACATACTCAGATAAATTATAATAAAGGTAATAAAATATATGCAAAAAGTCTCCCTCTACAGTTAAAAATATAACATCCCTTTAAAAAATAAAAATAAGTTAGAACTAGGATATTATAAATTCACAAAGAATGAACTAAAACATTACATATAGAAATAAACAATAATCTAAAAATACATGTTTTTAAAATATGATTTTTAGTATTATATACAATTTACATTTTAAAAGCATAAAAAATAAAAACAACAAATAAATCTTATATCATAAAAAATTTTTTACATGTAGATTTTAAGAATTATATTTGACATTGCTCATATTATTGACAACTCTACTAAAATAAATTGATTATTACAAAACTTTGCATATAGGTAGGTAAATGATTACAGTTGTGTTCTAATTGCTTGTCAGGTAAATACCACCAGAATGCCTTAAAGTCACTACCCCAGTAACATATTAAAAGGCTTGCAGAGGATCACTCTGTGTTCAGTTTTCAATGTAACTGTTGTTTGAAACCAGTAATGACTAAACAATGCACTCAAAGACAGTTACTCAAACTGGGTATATGTAAATAAGCATTACACACAGAACCATTTTCCAGCAAAATAACAATTGGCCATGTACAGCTTGGATTTTCCAAGAATTTCTCCATTACTTTGCCACATTTCCTTGGTCTTTCAGTCTTCATTTTTGTTGCCCATCAAGTATTTATGGGACAGATGAGACACTAGCTTAGGCTATCTATAATTATTAGGGATTGGGAGTAACAGTTGTAATGTCTATAGTCAAATTGTCACAGAACAGCATATAGTGTGTGCATGCCTGGCAATATGCATCCAGTCAAGAGGAGTTTCAACAAAGTATTATATTAAGTTTAAAGAATCCTTTAAATTGCATTGCTGTACGATAAGAAATTGTCCGTTTTCTGTGATAATGCAATCACTTATTACCATCATCATTACTTTTACATTAATAAAGTTTTGTTTGATTCCAATACCACATTCTTGGTGTGTAATATTTTTGTATTTATATAATTTTATTTGAATCATTAATTACTGATAATTATTTTACTAATTCATACAAAAATAATAATTTTTTATATGAATTCATTATATTTGGCTTATGTTTTCAAACAAATAATTTATTTTGCTAATAATTTTAAATAATATATATTTATGTATGAATAAAATAAAATACTCAGTATAGCAATTAAGAAAAATATTAATAAAAACTGTTTTATTTACATTTTGGAATTATCAACAACTATTTATCAATTTAATCTATTCTTTATATTTTTAATATTCAGAATGTCAACACACACACACACACACACATTATACATACATATATATCTGATGCAGAATTAATACATATTATTTACATTTTCAATTAAAATAATTGACACTATTTTACATCAAAAACACATGGAAGAAACTGAAATGTTTTCATACCTCCACCATATCTGATGATAAGGAACAAACGGTCTTCTTTTGCTAGAGGTTATGCCTTTGTAAAAATATGCATTAATACATCATTTTAATTTAAAGGTATTATCAATATTGTGAAATTCAAATGTCTTAAACTGTATATTGATAACACAAATAAAAACCTTTACTAACTAGCATCAACTTTTAATTTAATTGTGAAATTCAAATGTCTTAAACTGTATATTGATAACACAAATAAAAACCTTTACTAACTAGCATCAACTTTTTATTTAATAATTACTTTCAACTTACTATTACTTCAAATTTTGCAGTCAATGTTTCACCACCAAACATATTTTTTAAATGTAAAGGAGGTCCTGNTTGTCTAATTTTTATAGAAAATTATTTCCTTGAATAAAAAAAACTTTTAATAAATAACTCTTAACGAAAATAAATGCGATAAAATAAGAATTTGTTCATTTTATTGCCTTTATAATTGTAAAAGGTTTTCCTATTTATGCCCTAAACGAAAAAAAAAAAACATATATATTCCTTTCAAAATTTTATATAATAATCTAAAAGCATGAAAATAAAGAAAATCACCAGCGGAAGAGTTTCGAATTAACATTCTCTATTTCCAGATAACAGGAAATTACGAAAAATGAAATATGATTTTATTAATCCTGTAATCCAATAAACATGCTCGACAGTAACAACGTTTGAATCATTCTATTTGGCATTTTATTAACAAACATGAACTGCTGCACCGATCCAGGCTGTTTTAAACGCAAAAAAATAAATATTTCTAAGCCAATTTTGGAAAATGTAAAACTAGAGGTAAGCGTGTAATAAGTCATTTAATAATAATATCATTTTTTAAATTTAATATATCGGGTTTTATGTGTAACAGTTATTTTGTTTTAAATATACTGTAATTTAGAATGGCTTTCGTTTTAAATTATTAGAAACGGATTGTATATAATTTTTTAAAATTCAGTTTTGAACGTAAAAATTCGTATATTGGAAGAACGTTTCTGATTATTTTACGGCTTAAACCATCTGGAAGTTATAAATTACTAATTGTGACTTTCAACCATATTTATTCTTCGATTCTTTGCTTTAAAATAAATACATATGTTTTGAAGGTTAAATACGAATTTGCTAATTGATCGTATTCAAAATGTGATAATGAGTTTTAAATTTCAAAGTAGCCAATCAACTTTAATCAATAATAATGACGCAAGAGAGACACGTTTTATAAAACACAAAACAAAATATGCTACGTCATTAAAATTTTTTAATTTAANTTTTTTGACAAACGACGTATAATTGAGAACGACATAACTCGAAACGATGTGACTCGAGCTATACCTGTACTGTACGTTCACGTTTGTATAAGATATAATTGTCATGTTTGAAGCAGAAGAAACTGTGTTAAAATATTAAGAATTTGCTCTTATAATATCAACAGTTACAATAAAAGCAGTTTGCAAAATTATATATATTAGTTTTAGAAAATTTTCCAATGTTATTTTTTCAGATTACTTTGATATTTACTTTTGGTTCTCAATAATAATGCAAATGTTATGTTTATGTTTAATGAACATCATTGTCATAATCCTAAAACAAAGTGGCTGAAAAAACATTAAATGTTGTTGTAATGCATGCATTACAACAACAGCCATTTATGATAGCATGTATACTGCCTGAAATTTCTGAGTTTGGGTCACCCACATGGCTGATGGTTTGTGTAGTCTTGGTATAAGAAGGTAGGCTACTATAAAAATACAATAGTTCATGACCAATAGCAGCACATTATTATTATTATTCAAGGAAGCTGTCTTACGAATATGGATGTGCAGATCATACGTAAGCAATTTATAAACTATTTATTACACATTGTCATGTGTATCAAAAAAGAAAAGACAAAATGTGAACAAGTATGCTTATTAAATTTTATTCTTCCTTACCATGCAGCTGTTAATGTAGCTTGGTATTTGTGTGTGATGCACTTGTTTTTCTGTTGATATACAGTAGAGCGTCGATTATTCGAAACGTCAGTTATTCGAAAGAATTCCAGTTGGCAAATTTAAATTTTTGCTAGTGCTGTGGCTCTGCAATCTTTGGCTATGTCTTGGGCTACTCCAATATTTTGTTTTGTTTTGTTTTTTTTGTTGGTGTGTGTGTGTGTGTTTTAGCGGCAGCACTGGCACTTTTGTGTGGTGTTTTTCTGAAAACTGTGTCATGCTGAATCGAACGTTTTTGATACTAGATTAACTTCTGAAGTATAATTTTTTTTTGTTTTTATATTTTTCAATATATTTATTTGTTTGTACAAAATAAAGAAATAATTTTTAACGATACAATAGCCACGATTATTATTTTAAAAAGTTTACGTTAGGCTTAATGTCGACGAAAATTCAATGCGAAGCAACATGCAATGGAGAAAAATTTTAGCATGAGATAGGTTAATATATTTTTTCGTACATAATCGATTATCCGAACAACCTCAGTCCCCAATTAATTTGGATAAATGACGCTCTACTGTAGTGGTCAGCTACTTATAAAATTATTTTATTACTTTGTGTTTATTTTAAATTCAGTTGAAGAGCATTAGTGTAGGAAGTGCAACCCATGTGGCCATTTTTCCAGATAGTATAACACAGGTCTGCAAGTAAAAAACTGCATAGGATTTTTATACATTTTCTTACAGATTTCAACTTGGTAAAACAAAAAAAAATACCAAAAAAATTCCATCTCGTCAATTTTTTTTCTTACACTCAAGTTTTTGTTTGTATTTAGCGTAAAATTGCTAGTTAACTTAAAATTNTAAATTTAACTCGATAGAAAAATGAGAAAAAACCGTAAATATAAAAAATAAAAATAAAAAAATTTTATATTCGGGGGATGACGTCAGATCGATTACGAAGACATTTGACAAGCAAGATGGCGGACAGAAGGAAAGGACGTAAGAAGAAAGAAGTAAGAATAAATCGCGATTACATTCATTAATCTATTCCATTTTAATGTACAGTTACGTCGGAATGTTGTTAGATGCTGCTGTTTATGTCAGTTGCCCTATAATTATTTTTACTGAAGTTTTATACATGTGAAAATGTATTGTCTTTATACAGGGAAAAATATTTTTAAACGTATGAAATGTAATTATTCACATTGGCTGAATGGTTCACTTAAACGATCATTCTGTTCTTAAGGAATTTAAACTTACATTCTTTTTACGAGATGTGTATGCGTTGAGAATGAATTTTCTTAATCACGAAATAAATTCGAATTTTTCTGTCATCCCGAGATTTAATATTTACATTACCTTGCCAAATTATTAGACCCATTAACTAAAATCATACCTCTTCTACTATTTTCTTCATATCTTTTTTGTTATATTGTTTAAGGAAGAGTATATTTTATGTTCTTGTTCTCTATTACATCCAAAACATTTTAAATTAATTTTTTATGTGGCAACAATGTAAATGTAAAAAAAGATAACTTTCTACTACAAAAGGGAAGTGATAGAGGTTCTTAATAAGGTATGGCTGCGGCTCTATTTGATCTCCAAATAAGATGATCGGAACCTTATTGGAGCTGTAGAGCATACTCGTAGGAGCAAAAATGTCACCTCTATGAGCAAGCAATTGTTTGCCAGTTACGGCCCCAAAAATCAGGTCAGTTATAAAATCCCCTCATTCGGAGCTTGAATCTTACCACTGCAGCATAGTCCGTTCATGAGAACAAAAATAAAAAATATATAGTGTATTCCTTGTGATATAGAAACATTTACTGGCTGTTAGAGGTGATGATTCAAAATACTAATTTTCATGTTTAATTTTTCTATTCTTCACTGTTTGTTACCATCACTGTGTATTCTTTTACAGGGAAGAATACACACATGGCACCCTTAAGCAATATTTACAAAGAAATAGGAGCAGCTACTAACAAAAAGATAGTTTTTAAAAGGAATCAACAATATACCAGATGCTATGTATGGACAAGGAAGCTATAGACCATAGCCTTATTCCTGGAATTTATAGAATACCTATACAAGACGAGGCAGCAAAAAGAGCTGTACTACATTGAAGTTTCATGTTTAATTTTTTAAATTTTATTATATTTGAATTTTTATATGCAAAACTTACTTTTTATTTTGTAAGATGTAATAAATGTAAATATTTAAAATAATCCTATCACAATTGCATTTTTATTGAACTATTACATCAAAAACTAACAAACAATCAGTTTTTTTTTGCCTAGGTCTAATAATTTGGCAAGATACTTTAATATATTTTCAGATAAAGTAATGAAAGAAAATCTAATATGATTAATACATAGTTTATTATTAACTGAACTTGGATATAAAAAAAAGATTAAGATTTTAATTATAAATGTTTTAGAAATGTAAATTAAATTGATATTTATGCAACAAAATACTTAGTGATTAATTCTGCAGTTATTAAATGATAGTTGCATGTGTTTTTTTTTAGATCTGAAGATTTGTCTTATAATACTTTTTCTCTGGTTTTTATTTTATTAATTTAAAGTATTGATAAGCTAATTGAAATTTCATCATATTTAATTGTTTATGATTGTTATATACAATTGATAAAAATATGTTTTACTCAAATCTACACATACATGTATTGATTTAATATCAAAACAAGATTCTGATTAAATTTCTTAGAATCAGACTGTAGTTTGGTCATAAAGCAGGTGCATATTAATACATAAGATGCTATATTTGTAGAGAACATACAAAAAAAATATGTACTACCTTCTAGCTCTGTGCATAGGATTTTTAAAAGGTTGGGGTTTTAAAAGAAAATATTTTTTCATAACAGTTTATTTATTTTTACAATATGGACATACTGACTTTTTATATTAAGTTTTTTATTTAAATTTTTAATTCTTCCCAAATAGGGAGTTACTCATATTGTGCACTGTCTTAGATTTTGATTTAAAAAAAAGGTATCATAATGCATTGTACTAATTTAGATACTTAATCATGGTTTCAGCATTTATATTGTTTACTTGTTTGTTTAATTGACTACAATAAAACTAAATTTTAATTGTGTAATTTATATTAGATGTCCTGCTGATCCAATACCATATTTTATCTGAACAAACCATATATAAAATGATAAAATGTTTTAAAAATGTAAATACATGGTTAGTTTATTTAAACTTGTATAATTTTTACATATATATAAGTAAAAATTATACAAGTATATATATATTTCTATTGATGTAAAATAGTATCATTAACAAATGTTAAGTTTCCAATCATGGGATCTAGGTTTATTTATTCTATTCTACTTATATTTATTATATTAGCCTCTTGTCCTTTTTTTTTGTATTTTATTATTATATAGCTATTTTGGACTTATCAATCATGTTTTCTTAGAACCTTTATTTCTTTTTTCCTTTATTTTTTAATAACTTTAAACTCCAAATGTTAAGTTTATTAATTTTTGCAATATTAATTATTCTTTTTACAGACTTTTTCTTCTTAAGTTACATGTACAGTAGAACCTCGAAAACTCGGCTCTCGATAACCCGGCACTCCGGATAACTCGGCCACACTATGGCAGGGCAAAAAAATCCTTAGTTAATTAATTTTCATTATAGACAGCTTTATAAAAGTATAAAAGCTCTCATAAAGTATTTTTCTGAGGTCTGTCTTATCAGGTAAATTACTGTACACAGTGTATTCATTAATTTTCATTTTCATGTAGTA